TCCTCCAACAGTTGTTGGTAGATTAATTGAGGGGCAACATTATAAAATGAAAAGATCGGTGAAGATCATCAATGTGACATTTCCTCTCAAGAGATGTGGGATAGACTCGCTGCTGGCATCGTTGACGCTCCGAGTATAAACGGGATTGTGAACACACTAGATTAAGCTAAAAAAGAAGCTTAATTCTACAAGAAGTTTCTACCACCTCTGTCATCTGATTGTTCAGCGGCTACTTTGCTTCACCGTCAGCACTTGGACACATCTGATGGCCGAAAGTCCAGTTTTTAGATCTCCAGGAAAGAGGAAACTAGTCAAGAACATTAAAAGATTCGGCGACAAGCCACACATGGCGATGATGGCGTATTCTTCAACGCCAACACGTGGTGGTGATGGTGTTGCCACTAGGAAATGGAAAAAGATCATGAGGTGGCTCATTGTGGCCAGAAAGAAGAGGAAACGGAAACGATAGTAGATGGCGAAAAGGCGCTTGGCGCAAAAATTCAGTTTGACGATATATACATTGGATTTTTGACGGGTCATATTCTATATAACACTAATATATATGTGTTATAGCAATTTTAAACTGATGCATCCTTAAAGGAATATGATGAATCGGCATCCGAAATCGGGTAGTCTCACGTAAGTTCTGAATGGTTCCTGTGCCACGCCCATCCAAAGATCGAATAATCAGTAAAAAGCTTCCCAATTGGATAACAAGTTACGTTTCAGTCTGGATGCGATATTAAATATAAATTGCATTATAACTGAAGGTAAAATTTTTGAAGTATAAGTAACAAACAAATGATGCAAACCGGAATACTCATTTAAGTAACGAATGGCGTATAACAACATCGGGATACCGAGAGAAGACGAGATCGAATGAGTAGGTACTAATAATCTATCCCAGGCGTCTAAGTCTACCTAGTCTTAACTTAAGTGGCGTCTACACGTCCTGAATTATCGTCAGTCTTGCATGGCATGGCAAGTTTGACAGCGTGATGACGTTTAGTCAGTCGACTTGCACGACAGTTTTAGGGTTGAACAAACCTGCTGAAGACGGGTGGGCACGACTATCAGGTGCAAGCATGACTCGCGATGAGTTAAAATGTATCGACGGGCGCAGCCGATTAATCGGTTAACGTATTTCCCTCTCTCATCTTGTCTTATTCTTGTCATCTAGTAGTTGAGAGCTCCGGCGACATTTTCTAGATTGTAGCGAGAAAATGAGATTGCAAGGCTTATGGTACGGAGTCCCAGGAATTCATTATTGAATTTTAAGGAATTCACCGCAGTATCTTAGCATATGAAGAGTTTAAATAAATTATTATAGCATTAGTAAAGCAAATCGACTAAACATGCGTCAAAGCTACTCTTCAACGTATGTTTAAACGAAACCAAGACTGCGTAGCAAAGAAACAACGGCGTAAAGATAGACCGAGCGAAAAAGAGCATTAACGCATTTCGCACTGTTCATCGCACAGACTGTGTTGCTTAGTCATTTGTTTCCTCTGGAGCTGCCAGGGATGCTATACCTGAAGACCTCATTGTCTTATACCCTCATACCTGAAAACCGTTTCTAACCCTTGACAATTTCGATCGCCATTGAATATTGCACTACAGAAAAGTATTTTATTGGTTAAAGATCCTAAAATAGACATTTGTATAGATAAAATGATTTGACTCGTGAAAAATTACTGGAACAATATTTAAATTATATCTTGTATACATCTAACTGATAAATTGTACTTTCAATTACATTTCTTTTTTTTTCGTATTTTTAGGCTCGAATCTCATTGCTGTCGTAATGAACAGTTCCTCTGAAGCACTCAACTCAAGAAAACTTTAAATTTTTGTGGAGGCCAGTCAGTCTCCAGTCAACTAGGCATGACATACAATATTGCGATTAATTTCTACTAGTAGACTGCAGACTTGCCTTCGTATTGAGTACCTAAACTATAGAAACGCCCTACGGGCCCAACGCAACTCAGACAGAAGACTGCCAAACATGGGACTACCACAATTCAGAGTTAGCCTGGCATAATCTTCGTGGTCCAAGAAGGAAATTTACAAATTAAAATTGACATTAAAATAGAATAATTCTCGTATAACCAATCTTCTTCATAAACACGGATAGTGACACGGCATTATTATCCAAAACTAAAAACGTTAAAGTAGATTAATCAACTAGGTAACGGCCATCTTACCTTGTTGTAGTTTCAGAACACTAATAATTCGACAGTCATACGGCAGGAATCCAGTAAAAGAGCAGAAGATGTCGTCAGCAGTCATTCTTATCACAAAACTACGTTTTTAATTAAATCTGCCATCTAAAATGAGGACATTAGAATGACGAGGAAGAATAAATTATCTAAATTTAATATCCAGTCCTGTTGAAAACTCCAAAACCGTCACCACGCCACAGCATCGTTAAGAGAATACGGCTTCCGGCGGCAGTCTGCGTCGCTGAACGAGGCTGCTTAAAGCTTTTTACTCCATTATGTCGCTACATAACATTAAGTAGAATACGATAGGGAACTTGGCTCGAGCACCTTCGCATTTTAGCTTTGGTTTTATTTGATTACAAGTCATCGCAAGCGAGGCAGCAAAAGTGCAGCGAGTTATTTCACTGCTGGAGTGGGGCTCTAAACACGCGTACCCCGGCGTAAACCGTTGCAAAGCAGCATAAAATCCGGCACACGGACGTCTAAAATAAACATGCCGTGCAATGCCAGGCCTCAATGACATGCCTGGCCTGCTCATGACTTGAATTGTTGCTCGCAAATCAGATGACTTAGTCTGCCGTTAAATCAGCCTCAGTGATATCGGGTGTAGGCGTGAGAAAAGGAATCGCCAAGGCATTTCGAAAGAGTTAGAACTTTAGAAGAATATATACAGTTCAGCCATGGTCAGCCTAACTTGAACGGTCATACACCCAATTAACCTATTTTACAGTACAATATTTGATAAAAATGGGGGTATCCAATCTTTACAATAGCGTATCTAACATACTTTACCGAGAATCTAAAACCACATCTTCTCAGTGAAAGACTTCAATATTACACGCCTAAGTAGCACACAAACGGCACTAAACTCATTATTATAATCTGCCTTGAGGCAATTACCGAGCATATGTGCTTAGTTCGGCAGAACTTAGGGTTTTTTAATACTCAAACCTCCCTCCACTTGAGCCTGCTTTGTAGCCCCGCAAACATTGAAAAGTTTGGTCTGCTCGACATTCATACCAAGTTCTGACCACGGAGTCTGCCGCAAACTTTGTGACTAAGTACGGCTTCGCCTTCGTTACTGCATGCTGGGTTCGACGACGCCCGCACAAAGACGTCGTTGTTTGGTCTTATTATCTGTATTTAGGGGGCAAATTAATAGGTGGAAGGTCATTAAATGATTTCAGATCTTTATCGAAAATGAAACTTTTAACTTTACGCTTATTCAAGTGATGCCAATTTACGAGTAATATTATACACAAAATCTAATTAGTAGTCAATTTAAAAACATGCGTTCTTCTGTGTTATTTTTGGTTGCGTTTTTTGACCACAAATAACACAGAAGAACGCATGGTTGCGTTTTTAGCGCATTTTCTCATTTATGTGAAAAAGGCGCTATTGTGCTCGTCATATCCGTCCGTCTCTCTGTCCGTCCGTCCGTCTCTCTGTCCGTCCGTCCGTCCGTCGGTGACCACGTTTTCGTCGACGAGAAAATGCGCTCTCTGTTACTCACTGCAGTGAGTACTGAGTTATATATTTCTTATTTCTGTTCAATAACTACGTCAATCATCTCGACAAAAGATTTTTGATGTTAAGCTCCAGGAGGTTGTTCGCAATACACCCCCAGATGCCCTAATAACTTTCGTTTGGTGAGCAACATTTACCTTTTATTAAAACAAAATATTCACAATAAAAGTTGTGCTTCATTAAAAGAACTAAATTGTCCAGAGAGTTTGTTAAAATAATTGTCGCGCCTCTCGTACTTTGCTCGGCTGAAGCCTGAAAAGTTGCCTGGCAGTCTGGATATTTCGAGGAGTGTTAGATTTACGACGCTCGAAAGTTATTTCCCGGACACAAAACTTATTTCAAAAAGACGATTTGAGCTCTAGTGAAATAAAGGCCGCGACAAAGTTAGTCTTTCTAGTGGTCTGCAAACCCTTGAAGTTGCAGGAACTCAAGTATTAAAATAGATAGAGCCCGTTTTGAGAAAATAATTTCGGTGATAATTGGAGATATCATTACTCGAACAAGAGGTCGCTTACACGGGACGTCGGCCGCCCGCACGAGAGAGACAGAGAAGGGAAATGTAAGGAATCCTACCTACATAATAACTTAACCCCACAACTGAGACCTGCAGTCAGACACCGCGAGCTCAGCGGTGGGGCGCTCAGTAACAATCCCCAAGGAACGCGAAATCCCATAGGACTTTTGACGCGCACAGACACACGTCAGAAGTCCCCCCTGAGGGGAATTTATGCAACAAGCAGGCTCTGCAATATTAGGGTTAACTGTGTGAATTTGCCAACTTTACGTCATGTTACTCATATATAAAAGTTATTATACTTCAATGAGGTTTGATTTCTATGCCAGTGAAATTGGTGAATGTCGTTTCAAGGATTTGATATAAAGAAGGCACACAGTAACCACGTCGACGTTGTCTCTGCACGCCATTGCGGATTAAAAGCTTTGCGAAGAGTCTTACTTGGCATGGACAAAGCGTTGCCTCCATGTCATGAACTCGTTAAAGTAGGTGCAAGTTCGGCGAGTAGTCGTTCGGTCATAGAGCTAATTATTCAAATTTCAGAAATTCAGGCAACTAATGTTGAAACACGTAGGTAGACGCATTAATTCAACCATGGGTAGACGTAGGTTAATCATTTTGTTAAGTAATTTCTAAATAAACAAATTCAAGTCAAATATTTAGAATAAGAATTTGGTAAGAGAAAATTTAGCAAGAATGCTCATGAAATAGAACAAGGGAGCACGAATATCACTCGCCTGCTGTCGCGGCCGCGACGCCACCGAGAAGCAGCAGCAATCGTTGCATTGTGAGCGTCAACATCACGACGAATTTTTCATCAATGTTTGTTACAGAAACTATGACTGCGCTGGAACTTTTGAGCTTCTCACATAAGTGAGCTATTGTATAACAATATGATTTTTTAACACGTAAACAGTGTAAAATTTTTAGTGACTGAATAACATGTTAGATTATGACGGCAATTGTGTGTTTGAATTAAAACAAATAAATGTAGCTATATAGCCTAGCGGGCCTATTTTGTGGCTTCTGACATACGGAATAAAATTTGGCATTAATCGGGACAAATAAATAAAGTAAATGGAAAAGATAAATTTTTAGGATTCCTTGTTTTTTAATCCTTCAATTGCTCTTTAACTGTTCACGTTCATATAAGTTATAAACTGTCCTTTTTACTTAATTAGGCAAACAACTAAGAGGGAGAAAATGTCTGAATCACTAATATCCAGGTATATCCTGCTTTGACTTCAATAATCCACTGACATACTCTTAGTATTTACTTCAGTTTTTGCACTTTTTTATTTGTTTAAAACACAGTCCAACAAATGAGCTTGCTGGAAAATACTTAAAAAAGTAAAAGTATTTAAATTCTTCAATCTCTGCACTTCGAACACGAATGAGTGTCCACGCGCCGAGTGATGACGATGGGCAGGAGCGGCGCACAACCACAACTCGGGACATCAACATCGCAACTGTTGCTAATACGAATTATACGATACGATTCAGGGATTCACTCCGGAGTCCTGACTCCTCTGTAGTGCAAGAGCCTAGGCTCGGATGAAAAACAGTTTCGTGTTAAATGTAAAATATAATATTCACTGTTAAGATAACAATTAATTGCAAACCTCATTATTTTTTAGTTTGTAAATAACACCAAATTTTAAAATAAAACCTATTTACAGCACCAATACTGTATGTGCTGTTGCATTCATGTGTTCTCTTCGATGCCTCTACGCTGGCAGAAATTAAGCATTCCTTGACGTAGCTTAATTAACAAATCATAAAATACGACGTCATGTGGTCTCTGCAATGAAGTGACCGTCCCGACTCGGAGCAATGCTGTAACGGTGAGTTTGAAACAGCGCTTTGCCGCCTCATACTGAATGTTGGTCAGAATTTAGTTCATATGCAAGTTCTTCTCCATAAATAGCGAGATTATTATTTCGAACGAAAATCACTGTACGAAGCCCAAGAACCTTAAACCTTCGAGGACAAAGTGTTCCGGAGCTAAACTTTCTATGACAAAGTGTTCCAAGTTATCCTGTCATCATTCGAAAATCAAACGTCAATTAAGCTCAGCCTGTCATTTATAAATTAATTTGAGCAACTCGTTTTCTTTATTAAATTCTTAGACCTGAATAATTCCATAGCTCATATTCATGGCGATTTTTGTCTTAGATTTAGATCATAAGAGTTCATGGGCCGGAATAACATAATTCTGCTTCACGACCAATGATAACATAGAAAGCACTCTTAAGTAATAGATGTATTCAAGCATTCATTAGTGATCGTGAAATTTTGCATATTACTTGCGTTTGTCTGGTCGCTAGTATTTAATATTTATATTAATAATGGTCTGGAACTTCAATCCTTCAACGAAATCCTGCTTGTGTCAACTGGAGACAATATACATCACCTATTGAGAAGTTCCAATATAGATTCATGGGCTGTAGTGTATCAGAAAAAATTCAAGTTATCTGTCATTCTAATATCATGGTGTCTCAATTTTTGGTTTAAATAAGTCTCAAAATTTTGCGCTATATCTCTTTACTACTGATACAAGGAAGAGTATTTATTTAAACAATACTAAATGACATTAGTACGGATCATTTTAATGTGGATTTTTTCATAATTTTCTAATTATTTTAAATTTTTATGTGGTTTAATTTTTTTCAACTGTTCTCATGTGACACCTATAATTTACATTAAAAAACAAATGCCGCATGTGTGAAAACTGGCATTATTGATACTGCAGCATTAGACTTCGCAGAAAAATGTGGCAGAACAACTGATCTCTCGAACAAAGAAATGAAATTTTTGTTTCATTCTCCTCAGACTTACATGTGCATTTTCGTTTTCTGTTTGGTAGTAAAAAATTCATTATGTACTAATCGAGTTAATGATGAGTGAAAGTCAATAATAATTTATAATATAATGCAAAATGTATCTTTGAATGAAATTAAAACGGAATTTACATCACCTATTGATATCAGACTTAAAATTTTGTACTATTTAATTCATATTTTGTACACATTTTATGTATGGAAATGCATGAACAAGTTATCCCAAATGACATTTTGCGGCAGGCAGCAGCTGTTGCACCAGAGCCGCTGACGATCGCACTTGGCCGAAAATGAAATCGTTTGCCGTAACCTATACCCAAGCATCCATTGAACTCCTGGCTCAATATTTGTTTAAGCAGGGCGAGCCCAAAGATACCCAAATGGCTCCTATATTGAGCCAAAGTGAACAATTTTTCCAGCTAGCTACAATATTCTTTAATGTATTTGGAAGTCAATCTATGATCTGAGGACAGCCGCCGACGGCTTGATTCAAATGGCTTTTTTCTGGCATCATATTTCAAGAATTAAAAGCTTCACTGTACTCACTGGTGACTCATTTAGAATGGGGATAATTTTTGCGGAATAGACTCGTCATCAATCCCACATTGCTAATATTAAAATTTATAAACAGTAACATATGTGCAAGCGTGAGTGGGACCCAACTTGTATCTCATAAATTCATTGTTTATAAACTTTGCATTAATTAATACGTACGTTTAACCATTAAAGGCCAAATCCTGAGCTGTTTTTTATATAGTTTGAAGTGCGGCATCATTATGTAGTTAAGAGGCGGCGACATCTAATGGTACTTATAGGCTCGTAACGTGCAGACGGCTGCTCTGATGTACCTTTACGATGGCCGTTACCCCCAGATATCCTTTAGGTCGTTTGACCTCCGTCATAAGTATATTTTAATTTAAAAATTTCTCTATTATGCAAAAATGTTCTCGTACATTGCAACACTTAAGTCCTCGTGCACCGTTCTGGCATAAATATGAAGCCTTACTGAAACAATATAATTTTTGAAGGGTTATAAGAACATTCATTCCTAAATGTAATTTTTAATGGAAATTTGTACCGTGCTACTTTATGTGGCCGATTCCCGGATCAAAGGCACGTTTCCGGTCAAAGGACCGATAGATTTGGAGTGTTTTATTGGGTTCGTTCCTGAAGATATAACCTCAGACTTAATTTATTCATAGGATCTGGTAGCAGCTATGAAACTTTAAATTCGTTCCACGATCATAAGCTTGGTACCCGCCGGGTCAATTCAACGCACAAGAACCGAGTCAATCCAAACTTGCAGGCGTCAGGAAATTCCTGAGTCAATCCTGGCGAGCTGACGTTATTCTTCGCCTCGTGTAAGCCGCGGTCTTCAAATAGTGTGGGTCTCGGGCCGGTATATTCTCTAGATGTCTTGTGCTTGACTTAAGAGATCTCTGGTTAGAGGCTGGAAGCTGGTCTCTGAATACGGTGGATGTCTTGAAATAGCAAGTTTCAAGACCTCTGGTTCTCGAAGCTCGGAAGGTTCACTTAACCCAGTCTCGCCTCGTGTAAGCCGCGGTCTTCAAATAGTGTGGGTCTCTTGGGCCGGTATTCTCTAGATCTCTTGTGCTTGACTTAAGAGATTTCTGGATAGAGGCTGGAAGCTTGTATCTGAATACGGTAGATTCTTGAATTAGCAAGTTTCAAGACCCTTGGTTCTCGAAGCTCGGAAGGTTCACTTAACCCAGTCGATTTCTAAGCCCCCCCCCCAAAAAAAACAGTAAATTTCTCAACTTTTTGCCCTGAAAATCATCCCCGAAAAGTGTGATTAGGTCAGGCTTGCTAGGAAACAGCTGAAGTGAAATTCCTTACCAAATTTCAGCATCTTCCCATGCTAACTTGAGATAGCATTTTGAAGGATATATTTGTCCATCATTTGTTCTCAAAACTTTGGTTGAATAATTAATAATAGATAGTCAAATGAACGTAAATCTGCTGAGAAACAACCATACCACAGTAGGAACACAATAATAAAAATGTATTTCATCGAATTAGACATGATGCCAACCACTTCTTTTTATCTGAAGCCCTTGGTGCGATGATGGACCCTCGGCCTGACCTCAGCGTTTATTATTGAGAAGGTCTCGCCCGGCGTCCTCTTCTTGCTCCCAGGGGAGAATTTATCCGTCCCCAAGAGTAAAAAATACTCTGGCTAGCTACAAATACTTGCTAGACAAGCGAATACACGTACGGTAGGGTTGTTCCACGCACCAGAATGGCACAAAACTCTCAGGCTTATCAAATATTAGGCCTCCTCGGTCAAGCCAAGGTTCTGCTCAGAAGAAGCTGAGTAGAGTTGCATTGAAGATTTTTTTTTATCTTGGTCACACTGTCCAGGTTCTTGGTGTAAATTCAAACACAAACATGCGCCATCCGACCGTTATAGCTCGCGATCATGCCATATTAAAATGTGATGGAAACTGTCAAATCGCTTTGCTGTTTTCCATGCATGTTCTACAGAAGGGACGTGACTTGCTCTACGATGCAGCAGACATCGTTTTTTAGCTGAGACTTTAACTTGACTTGAGTCTCGCTAACCTTCGAGGATGCCTCGGAGACGGATTCTGTACTATTAACAGATGACCACACAAAGATCTTCAGATATGCAGGTCAAGCAGTTGTGCTTATATGGCGGCTTCATGACAAACACAAATGAGTTATCTTCGCGAATGAGTTTTTTGATCAATCTCTCGGACATAATCACAAAATACTTTCTTTTCATTCATTTGTGTATACAGCTGTGTAAATGCATCATTCATCCAATTTCTGTAAAATGTTAATGGCATACAGTCTTTCAGAAACGTCGAAATCTCAGGTTGGCCTTGAGACAGTCGAATCATGTTCTGAATACATGCTTCATATTTTCCTTTACCTATCATGCTGACAAACTTATCTTACGAATTCTATTGAACTGCTGCTGAAAATTTATACCGAAATTTCTGCAGATCTCGATATTTAGCCAATGGGCTGAGACCTAGAGGTTAGTTGAAAATTTTTATTATAAATAAATTCGGAATTCAGCAAAAAGCTCATTGGAAGCAAAGCTAAAAATTGCGTGTCTTTGGCAATAAAAGAAAATAATGGAGAAAATAGCTGAGCAATTACATCGCGTATCCTTTTCAAAGTCTTCCAGTTCTTAGCAGAATTTTGTCGCTTGCCATGAAATGTCGTATCATT